GCGGTTGGCTACACATGTCGGGGGTGGACGGACCTCCTACCCTGACGCGTCGATTAGCGGATTTGCCGTTTTCGGTTCGCGAGAAGGCGTCGTTGTCGTGTTTTCTGCGGGTCCAGGTCCGTCGGTTTCGGTCCCAGGCCGTTTTCATTAAAGGGAAGTTTGCTAAAGGGAGGTTTATCCATCGCCGAACATGGGGGTCTGCCTTCGAGGGTCGAAGGAATTGATATCTCTTAGTTGGCGGAAGGCCTGCGGAAGGCGAAAGCAGAACGAGGCCGCCTCCGCCAGCGCAAGCCAGTGCCAGGCGTCGGAAGTACACATCGGCATTCCAATAAATGTTTACTTTGTTGGGCTCAGTTTTTTTGGGGGGAATCCACCGCATGGTCCGATGATTTCGAGATCTTGAAGACCTCACCAGGTGTTGTTTCACCTGCTTGGGGGACTTACCCTCGGAGAATGATCCCAGCCCCAAAGCGGCCCACCCACCCCGAATCAGACTCACTCGACAGTGTGACCGCGCCGTACGTTGGTGGACCCCGACAAGGCTTGGAGCGCCATACTTCCCAAGGGCACATGCGTGCTGCCCACCGGGGGCGTCAGCGCGGAGAACATGGGCGAGTATTGGGCCGCCGGTGCGAGGGGCTTTGGCGTGGGCACCAACCTCTTCAAGCCCGGGGACTCCGTGGACGAGGTGCTGGGAGAGTCAGAACCTGCACAGCTGCGTGGCCATGGACGTCCGGAGCTCCTCGCGCGGACTTCTCGGGTCGGCGCTTGGACCCCCCCCCCTCCCCGCGCCCCCTCCGCGGCGCGCTCCCCGCGCGCCCGGGGCCGCGCCCTATGGGCGCCGCCAGAAGGCGTGGAGACGGGGACCCAGAGCCGACCCGGGATGGTCCGCGCGGACCTCTGAAAGCACACGCGCTCACCTATGTGATATAATTGTGTATATTCGGGCGAAGAGAACTATGCACATGCACCGATCCTGGCAAGGCCCATCCTTGACCCAGAATCGGTGCATATGCCTTCCTGGCCAAGGTAGCAGGGCGTATGCACCGATCCTGGGCTCAGGATGGGCCTGGCGAGAATCGGTGTATGTGCATAGTTATTTTCCTCTCTCTCTCTCTACATATATATATATATATGTACGAACACGCACATACATATACGCGTATAAGTCTATGTGCTATTATATTTATATATAGATGCGCGCAACGATGTGCTCATGCAGATGCGGTTTGTGGTGGGTCCTGTGGGTGCTCTCGGGCTCGTCTCGAGGCCCGCTCGGCCCGTGAGGCAGGAGGACCGCCTGGCGCTGGACCTGCCACGAGCCAGGGGCCACCCGCCCGCGTCCGCAGCCGCCGCCCCTTTGCGCAGGCAGACGGCCGCGTCCTGCCGTGGCGACGGGGGGGGGACTCCAGCGCGGGTGTCCCAGGCGAGAGGCATCGGACGATCTGCGCGATCGGGAGGCACGGCCGCTCACGGTAGAAGGCTCCACGTGGTGTCAAGGACGAGCGGCGAGGTCGTCGTTGCACGAATTTGCCGTACAGGCTCGGCCCTGGACCCCGCCCTCCCAAAGCGGCGCGGCGAGGCGCCCGAGGCCTCCACCAAGAGCTTCCGCGGACGCCGCGGAAAAAGAAGGGGACGACGAGGACTCGTCATTGCCCTCCCCCCCCTCTTCGAGCTACCCCTCCTCCCCATCCTCCTGTCCCTTCGAGCCGAGGCCCGAATGGAGGGGGTGAGAGGCGGGGGTGGGTGGAAAGCATACTGAACTCAGCGAGTGCTGCACCGCCCCAACACCTCCTGCTTGGCGACAAGGTGCGGTTTGGGCCATATCACGGGATGGCGACAGCAGGCCCAAAGCCTGAAGTGGTTTCGTTCCTCCTCCTCCTCCTCCTCCTCCTCCTCCTCCTCCTCCTCCCCCTTCTCCTCCTCCTCTCCTCCTCCTCCTCCTCCTCACTCATCCCTCCTCGCCCCTCATCTTTTCCCCTCTTCCTACTCACCCCTCCTCCGCCCCCCAATCCCTCGCCCCTCATCCTCCCTCCTCCTCCTCCTCTCCTCCTCCTCCCTCCTCCCCCTCCTCCTCCCCCTCACCTCCCCCTCCTCCTCCTCCTCTTCCTCCTCCTCCTCTCTCACTCCCCCCTCCTCTCTCCTCTCCCTCCTCCTCCTCCTCACCCTCATCCTTCCTCCCTCCTCCTCCTACTCCTCTCCTCCTCTTCCTCCTCCTCCCTCCTCATTTCCTCCCCCTCTCTCCCCAAGTGCGGACGAAGCGTCATACTTTCGTGGCATCGCTCTCCGCCGCCCGCGAGGGCCCCCTCGCGGGCGGCGGCCCCCGCCGTCGAGGCGCCCGCCGCGAAGCGCCCCCGCCCGGCCGCGGAGGAGCCCGCCGAGGAGCCCGCCGAGGAGCCGAGGCCGGCCGCCTTCTGGCGCGCGCGCTGAGGGCAGCGCGCGCGCGCGTCGCCGCGCCGCTCGGGCGCGGCTGCGCCCGAGCGGGCGAGCCTCCTCCGGGGCGCCAGCCGCCCGCCAGGCCTGCGTCCCCCGCGGGCGGCTCGCTTGCGCCGGGCGGCGGCCCGCTGGCCGCTGGGGCCCCGAGGCGGCCGTCGAGGGCGCGGCACCGCGGCCGGGGGCCTGCCGTGACGGCTGCGGGTGCAGGGCGCCGGCCGCGCACTGCCACCACCTGTGGAGGTCAGCCTCGCGTGATGGGCGTGTTTTCTCCACCACCGCCACCATAAGTTGGAGGAGGAGGAGGAAGAGGACGAGGACGAGGAGGAGGAGGAGGAGGACGAAGAGGAGGAGGAGGAGGAGGAGGAGGAGAAGGAGGAGGAGGAGGAGGAAGAGGAGGAGGACCCCCTCCCCCTCCAACTTCTGGTGGTGGTGGTGGCGAACAGGCCCATCAACGCGCAGGGGGGGTGGGGGGAGGGGGGAGGGTTTCTCAGAAGCACCCCTGCTTCTCAGGAGGCGCGGGCCCCATCTATAGACGTAAGGCCGGGCGCCTTTTAAGAAGCAGCCTCCTAAGAAACCTCTCCCCCTCCCCTTAACCCCCTCCTCGTGCGCGCCGCCGAGGAGGGAGCACGCGCGGGCGCGGGCGGGCCGCGCGGGTCGGCCCGGCGAGGGGGTCGGCGGCGGAGCAGCGCGGGCCGGGGCCGCCTCCTGCCCCGCTCCCCTCGGCCCCGAGGCTCGAGGAGGCTCGACGATGCTCAGGGCGCGTGTGCGCCCGATGTCAGCCGCGCGCAGGGGGCGGTCGGGGGAGGGCGGAAGCCTCCTCAGAAGCACCCCTGCTCCTTAGGAGGCGCGGGTCGCATCGATAGGTGTGAGACCGGCGCCTTCTCAGATCCCCTGGCATCGCTCGGACGTGTGCATTGTTTCCTCGGCGAAAACATCGAGGCCCATGGACAATCGAGCCAAAAAAACACGCACGAAACCGGAACATACACGGGAAATGCACGTCCGAGCGACGGCAAGAACCAGCCTCATTTTCAGGAAGCTTTCCCCCCTCCTCTTGCCCCCATGGGCGCGCCGCCAGCCCTGTGTGCTTGCCCCGTTCCGCTCCCCCGATGCCACGCAGCCTGTGTCGTGCCTCACTGCGTCGTCTATGTCCTAGGGAAGGGCTTCGGTGGAGAAGCACACATTGGATCATCTTCAGGTGGGGATGCAGGGTCCAGGATCGGGGGCCAGAGGTCCAGGCTCGAGGGAGAGGAGTGACGATCGAGGGTCGAGGATCGAGGGTCGATGAGGCGGTTCGAGGTCCGGGAGGGTTAATGGAGACAGAGGAGGGCCGCCTTGCTTGTGCTCGAACTCCGTAATTACTTGTCGTACCAAGGGGTCTGCGCTGTCAAAGTGGAGAGAGGGAAGGATGGAAGAAAAGGTCGGAGGAGTGAGGAGGCGGAGGAGGAGGAGGAGGAGGAGGACGACGAGGAGTAGGAGGAGGCGCAGGGGCATGTGGAGCATGTGCCAAACGACAGCGGTAGTCGCCCCCGAAGGGTGCGCCAAAACGAAACTGTGCACTTGGATAGGACAAGAGCTTGACGCCGGCCCAATCGCGGCCACCTTCCCCGAGGTGGTGTACCGCCTCCGGTGGTGCTTGGGTGAACGAAACACCCACCTCTGGAGACGAGACAGGTCCTGATTCTACGGACTCCGCTGCGCCGTCACTGATACTGCGGGCCAGCTACGCTGACCCTGGAGGGCAAGCGTGTGTCTCGCCTGTGCATGGAACCCGCGGTGCCAGGGAGTTGGATCCTCCACCACGGCAAGAAAACGGCCGCCTGCGTAGGAGGAGGAGGCGGAGGAAGAGGAGGAGGAGGAGGAGGAGGAGGAGGAGGAAGAGGAGGATGTGGAGGAGGAGGAGGAGGAGGAGGAGGGCATCGATGCTCGACGATCAAGGTGTCAGGACGTTTCTGAGGCTGCTTGGGCCTCCAGCAGCCTTGGCGTCGCCACTGCTGGATCCTTCACGAACATCTGGCCAAAGCGCACCCCTGGAGAGATCATCTCGGGCCGATCTTTGACGGAGGAGGGGGAGGAGGATGAAGAGGAGCAGGAGGAGGAGGAGGAGGCGGAGGAGGAGAATGAGGAGGAGGAGGAGGAGGAGGAGGAGGAGTAGGAGGAGGAGGAGGAGGAGGAGGAAGAGGGGGCGGCAGTGGGCGACTACTCACGCCACCAGTTTCTAGAGTCTAGGTTCCAGGAGAAGGAGGAGGAGGGAGGAGGAAGGAGAGGAGGAGGAGGAGGAGGAGGAAGGGGAATTGAAGTTGTAAGTGAGGGAGGAGGAGAAGGAGGAGAACGGTGAGGAGTTGGAGGAGGATGAGGAGGAGGAGGAGGAGGACGACGACGTGGAGTTGGAAGAGGAGGTGATCGAGGCGGAGCAGCAGAGCTGGGGCCCTCCCGTCCGAGGCCGCTTCTACAAGAAGCACCCCCACACGGACATGAACGGGCTGCTGCAGGTCCGGTACGGCTAACGCCCACGTGTGCCGCCGTCGCCCCCAGGGGGCGGCGCGAGGGCGAGGGGCGATGAGGACGAGGCCGAGGACGGCGAGGGCGAGGGCACAGGCAGCGAGGAGAACGAGGGTGACGACGGCGAGGGCGCGGTGGAGGGCGAGGGTCACGAGGAAGATGGCGAGGGCGGGGGCGGGGGCGGGGGCGTAAAGGGAGATCGAGGACAACGAGGGGGAGGAGGGGTACGGAGGAGGAGGAGGAGGAGGAGGAGGAGGACAAGGAGGGTCATGAGGAGGATGAGGGGGAAGGGGAGGTGGATGAGGAGGGTGGCGATCGAGATCTTCTGGAAGCTGTCGTTCGCAGCCCTCAACGCTCACCCAGCGTTCCTCCGGAAACCTTCGCCAGTGACTTCAGAGGAGGAATCAGGTTTTTGTCAGCCGCCCGGTGACTGGAGAGACCAGGCACGTCCAGAAGGACGTTTGGCCGAGTCTTGCCCACAAGGCGCGCGGCGTGTTATGCTTCACCTTCGCCCGTCAGGTAGCCTGGCTGGTATAAACGGTCAGGAACGCCTGCTCAGCGTGTCACGCCGCCGGCTCTGGCCCACCACGCTTCGCCCAGCCCCCAAGCACCGCGCTTCCCCCCCCCAGGCTTCGCCCGGCTCTGGCCCCTCACGCCGCGAGAAGTTATTGAGCACGCCCGGTCCCCCAAGCATCGGCGCTGCGAGCTCCTCCCAGCCTCCCGTCCCGCGCAGTGCAGAGCGACGGCGTGTCGCAGCGGCCGCCGTCGCCGCGACACGCTGCTTAAGCAAGCGTTCCTGGCATCTTCGCCGGTTGCCAGGTCTGCTACGTGGGTCCTGGCGAGATTGGTGCGGCCGCGGCCGACGTCCAACGCCAGGCTCCACTTCGTGCCTGTCCCTCTACAGGAGGAATATTCAAACATAGTCAAAACATAGTCTGGGGACGAGTTTTTATCATTTGTTTTGATTATGTTTGAGTCTGCTTTGAGTATTTTTATTTTTTGTCCAAATCCGCCTGTAGGGGGACATGCTCGACCTAAGACCAGGCCTTGGCGCGTGCTGGGTCCTGGCTTGGCCGGGAGGCTATGTCGACCGAGGCCTGGGCCAAGGCGTGAGCTTGCGGCGGGCTCGTGGTGGTGGTGGTGGTGGGCGGTTTCAGTTCCCTGTTGCCTTGGCCGTGCCCCTGCCGTCTTAGAATCGGGCTGGACGAAAGGAGGGAATAGGGAAAGAGGGGGTTACGAAATCTGCTGCATGCAGCTGGTTTCGGCCCCGCCGCCGGGCCCAGTCCTCGATACATGGGCGCCTCCCGGCGCCGGGAGGCGCCAGGAAAATCAGCTACGTGAGCTGATTCTCACCACCCCCCTTTGCTATCCTTTTCTTTCGCCCGACCCGAGTCTTGGCCGTGCCCCTGCCGTCTGAGAAGCCCACCCCGCCTTCTCAGAAGGCCGCCCCCCGCAGGTCCGCGCTCACTTGCGCGCGCCGCCAAGACACAAGACACCCCGGATCGGGCGCCCAACTTCCCCCTGCGGAGGCGGCCCCCGATGCCAGCGGCTGGTGGTGGTGCCACTTTGTTGGGAGTTTGTACAGAACTTGGAATGTTGAATTCAATCCGCCTGACGTTTGGGTCCCTCCCCGATCCTCGAGGTCGAGGGCAGCAAAAGAGAAGAGGTTGCAACATGATGGGATTGCTAAATTCAATCTGCCTGACGTTTGGGTGCATCCTCGATCCACGAGGTCGAGGCAGCACAAGCAAATGCTCAGCAACCCGCCCTGCCAGCACCAATTGCTGGCACGCCGGATCGTCACGAAACGCATCAACAGCGAGGTGGTAGCCGACAGCGGGACGAGCCCGGGGATGGTCACGGAGTACAAGGCCGTCCGTCCCGCCGCTGTTGACGACGACGTCGACGACGACGTCGACGACGACGTCGTGGTGGTGGTCGTCATGGTGGTTGTCGTGGTGTTCGTGCTCGACGACGACGTCACTACGATGTGCTCGTCGTCCACTGGTTTCTGGAGTTTCGCTCGCCTCGGGATGCTTGCCAGCAGCTGCGCCTCGCCACGAGCGCTGCATGGCTGCCCGGATCGTGCCGCGTGGCCGTTTGATGCCCGAATTTTCCCCCGAAAGCGGGGGTCGCGGACGGAGGTTCGAGGATCGAGGCCTCTAAACGGCCTTTGGTCCTTATTTGGGACTTCCCCGCCGTGGCCTTCAGGGGCGCTGCCGCTGACGACGACGGCGTCGTTCGTTGCGGAAGTTACGCCTTTCCAGATGTTCTCGACGCCACGGCCAGACGCAGCTCGAGAACTTGGCCAGGGCTGGCCCCGGGAGGGGGTCGCAGCTGCGTTCAAACTAGAATTGCCGCTCGGACGGAGCAGCTCGGCCGAGGTGGAGCATCACGTTAGAAGAACACGCGTATCGACACTCCTTCATTGGTCGGAGCGTGCCCAAGGACGGGTCTAGGGAGTTGTGGTGTCGGTATCTCTCGTTCTCCTAATCCAGCCGGGCGTAGGCGGATGTGGACCATACGGTCAGCAGGGAGCCGCAGGGACTGGCGATGAGATAG